CCCCCCCCGTTGCCATGGTGACTGGGCAAGAGCCGGTCCTCTTCCCACATTGCCTTAGGATGGATGGATGGATGGATGGACAGACGGACTGCCGCTTGATGCAGACCTTTGCATTAAGGGGTTTACTGCTGGCAACATTCCACTCTTACTCATAAGAGAATGTAATCTCATTAGGGTCTGAGATACAAAGTCCTCAGTGGTCAGCAGCCTTTTATTCCTCACCCACCCTCTCTTTCGACACGAGGGCGGAAGGAATAGACATTTTGCAGAACCGCCTTTAAAAATCTCATCCATGGACAGGAAGTGCAATGAGCAGGAAAATGCACGTTCAAAGATATGTTCAAAGATACGGCATGTCTGTTCCACGGTCTTCTCTTTCTCCTGTTTCCATCCACATTCTCTGCTAAAGTTGCTGTGTTTGGCATTGTGCTCTTTGCGTAACAACTGGCCTGCAAAGTCATGAGATAAGATTGGAATATGTGTGCATATCCAAGTATTATAGAATATACAAACATTACTGGTTTTAACTATGCTGTTTTTAACTTATGTTTTACTGTTGGTACTATTTAATTATTTTTTAACTTTTGTAATCAATGTTTGAAATAAATAAAATAAATAATATCCCAGTATTGTGGAATATCTGTGTATATCCAATTAAATTCAGTGTGCAGGTTTGAGGTTTGCATTTTTTAGATGCTCTCCCATTAAAAGAAGAGGAGGAAGACAATGATGACATCAACAACACTTTTTTTTCTTATACATGCATATTCTAGTTGCAGGGAAGGCTTTTATGTGTGGTGAAATATTCAGAATATACCCCCCCCGCCCCGCAATCTAAAGCAGTATAGTGTTTCACATGATTTTCCTTTTGATGCAGGCTGCATGTATATTCAGGGTGTGTGCCTTACAAGTTCTGGATTAACACAGTAGAAGCTGCAATTTCTTCATATGAGTTGTGGTATGTTGGTTTACTGTACAGACTTGGAATGATAGGAATCCAGGAATTTATTCACAGATGATTCTGGGAACGGAAGCTGGACAATGCATTCTTGGGGTTGTTAACTAGCAGATCCTGTGTCCACGCTATTCCCACAACATATTTGTATGGGAACACCGCATCTCACCACTTTCCCCTCCTATCTCAACCCCACCCTTGCAATCCTGTGTAATCTGGGCCACATCACATCACAAGCAGAGAGCAAATGTCGGCCGACCAAACAGCTCCACACAAGTCAAGCAAATGAGATAAATCGTACCAGATTATTTACTCTGTGTGACTAATAAATCTGATGTGGGGACCAATGGTGTAGGCTGGCACCCTAATTATTCAGGCCTAACAATTGGGATTCAAAGCCTTCTGACCCACCTTGGTCCAGTTTACTTTGCCATGTTCCACAGCAGGGGTTGGCAACTTATGGCCCTTGTTCTGTTCCAACTCCCATTGGGTCCCAGATGACATTCCAATAACCAGAGATGCTGGGAGTTGCAGCAATATCTTAAGAGCTGTTATTTCCCCCCTTCAAAAGAAAACAAGGAAAAACAAGAATGGGGATGTACTGGAGGCACTCCTGTTCTCCCTCCCCCACTGTTTTTTGTTCTTGGTTGCAATGGCACACCCTTCCTTCAGTCTAGTAAAGTTGGATGCATTGGGCTATGGTTCCTGTCAGATCTGCCAGCATAGCCATTAGGAGACACCAGGTTCAGAGGAGGCTGCATTAAACGTTGGCCTGCCCTAGTTCTGGATCTTTTATTTGCATCTTCGGGAGCTCAACGCTTGCTGCAGCACTCACTATTAGTATTCAAGGTGTTACTTTTTAAATAATCCTACTCACGCCAAAAAAAGAAGAAGTGTCAATTACAAATAGAAAAATCAACCTGCTGGAAAAGAAATGCAGATCTCCTCCATGGCAACGTACAAAAATATCAAATCTTCTAAGGTCTCAGTGGGTTGATACCACCTTCCTCTGCATTATTTCAAACTGAGATAAGATGGTAATTGGGCTGCAGCAACTGCAGATACACTAATTCTTTTCATATGTCCTTGAGAAAGGATCTGAATAAGGTCACCTAAGAAGTCGGTAGCAGAGGTTGGATGGCACATAGGTATTGAAAGTAACTAAACTAGTTCCTGATACCCACACTGTGCCTTTTTTCTGTCCTCTGCTTTCCTGCTGTTAAAAGATTATCCAGCCTAGTAGAATCACATCTGCAGTGCTGCAGTCTAATGGGAACAATTGTACAATTTATATTGAGCATTCAGTTTGTGAAGCACTCTGAGAATCTGTGCCAGACTACATAGTTGATTGAGTGATCAGAGGTTGACCATTGTTTATGAAATGTGGAATCGGAATTCTATTCATTTTAGAGAAACCTACTGCTAGCATCATATGTTTAAAAATAAATACATTGATACAGGGATAATGTGAGAAAAACCTTGGCTCGGCCTGTACTGATGAACATCTTGCAGAAAGCTGCAATGCAGTAGGACACAACTGTCAAAAGAGGACAGAGACACCCAATTCCCAGAAGTCCTTGGAATAGATGGGGCCTCCTAACACATGCTCCATAATGACATTCTGATTGCTAATAATAATAGTTGGTTGAGTTACAGTTCTTGCCAAAAAAAAAAAGGACTCAGTATGTCAGACTTGTCTTTCTCTCAGAATTATGGATTAAATTTCTATCAGGGTTGTGACTGGTCATACCTAGGAGAGGTTTGATTCTCTCTCAGAAAATCCACTGGGAATTCTGAATATCATGCCATTTTACTATCAAATATTTATTTCCTTCCTTGATTACTATGCACTGTGTAAAAGTAAAAATAGATGGGGACCCAGGCTGCAAGCTTCATTATTATATTTTACATTTGTCAGTACATGTACTCTTTCTTTTCCCCCTCCCCTTTTCTTTTTTTGCCAAGATAGTACTTTGAACAAAATATTATCAGTAAAGAAAAGTGGAGAACTAGGGGAGAAGATGGGACTACAGCTACGGGACTGGATCTGAGTGGCAGGAGAGCTTCTATGGGAGCGTGGCCATATCTCATGGTGTGAATGATTCCTGTGCAGTCTAGCTCAGGGGTAGGCAACCTTTCCCCTTTAAGGGCTGAGGGACTTCAGCTCCCAGAAGCCTCAGCCATGTTGGCCAATAGTCCCATGTTGGCCAATAGCTCCTGGGATTCTGGGAGCTGAAGTCCCTCGGCCTTTAAAGGGGAAAGGTTGCCTACCCCTAGTCTAGCTGAATGCTAGTGCTTAGGAAGTTACACCAGAGGCTGGTGTTTGGAAAAATAGGATGGAAACATAAACTGCTTTTACACAATAGCTATTTCAGTTTCTTGTGTGATGGTAGTCATAGCAGCTTCTACTTCAGGTTGGTCTGAGATTTCTTCCATAGGAATATGTTCTGTCCAAATTATGATTGTGGGGTTTTCCTCCAAGATTAGCTGGTCAGAAATTTTGAGGAGGAGTCTTCAGTTGTCTGGGTGGCACAGTGTACAGTGCAAAGATCTGGGAATGCCTTCCTGACCTTGGATTTCTGAAGCATAAAATTTAATTGTCTTGATCTTACCATGCATGACTTGAAAGTTACAATCCATAAAATTATCTGACCAGCACACATGACTCTGTTTCCTCTCAGTGGTGTTGTCTCTTTTAAATTGGCTTTGTGCCACAAAAGGAAATTACCTTGTTTGTCCTAGCAATGACCAACTGTTGCTACTTGGCCAACATTTTGTGTAGGAGCTTGTCAGTGTTTCATGAGCTCTTCAACAGAGAAGGCCTTGGTGGAGCTCCTGCAGATATGAATAATCTCAGTTCAGTGTAGGAGTGAACTTCTCTTTAATGCTCTGGATCCTACCCATAGTATATAAGTTATAGTAAGATGCAAACAGTTCTTTGCTGCATGTAATTAGCATAGTTTGCATGTCATATTCATCAACATAGGAGGCGTGAAACTATAATATTCCATTGTATTCTTGGGCAGACGTTAGTACATTCAAATGTGGTGATTATGAGTTGTCCTTTAAAATATATTTTGCTATGAACACCTGAGTGTCTTAGAAGTATAAAAAATACAGACTTTGGACTTTTTATTTGTTCTGACATTACTTATATTTTTGAATCTCATCTCTGTAACTAGCAAGACAGAAGACAAAGAGCCAGGGTTTAGTGGTTAGGATGTTGGACTGGGAGGCCCAGTTTCAAATGTAGCCATGGCTCAGCCATGAAATTCATTGGGTAACCTTGGGCCAGTCACCACTACATCTCAGCCTAAACCACATCACAGAGGTCTTGTCAGATAAAATGGAGTGGGGTGAAGTCCTGTGTTCCTGAGAAGAAGGGTGGGATAAAATTATAACAAAATGAATTTTTAAGAGAAGGAAGAGACTGAATTTCTAGCTCACCAAATCCATTTTTACCATACTGCTTATTTATGCCAGCAAGTGGCTCCCTGTGGAACGTAGTTTGGCTTTCTTTTCAGCAACTGCTCTTGCATCTTTGTGCCCTTTGTGCCCTAACACTACTCTTCAATGTGCGAGTGCATTTGTTAGTCTTGGCAGCCTCAGCAACACAAAATGCCGTTCCTTTTTGCCAAACAGGTCAGATGATTAAACTTTGTTTTAGAAGAGAAGTGGTGTTTCTTCTGTTACTGAATTGCATGCTAGCTTTCCATGTGGAAAGTAGATGGGATCCTCACTGTTTGTTGTAATGGGAACAAGTTGGTTTATACTGATGGTACCAAAAAAAAAAAAAAGCCTGAGTGGGATTGTGGTTTGAGTGTTGGACAATGACTTTGGAGACCAGGGTTCAATTCCCAGCTTGGTCATGAAATCCACTGGGTGACCGTGGGCAAGTCACATTCTCTCAGCCTAAGAGGAAGGCAATGGCAAACCTCCTCTGCCAAGAAATCTTGCCAAGAAAACCTTATGATATGATAAATTCCGTAAGTCAGAAACAACTTGAAGGCAAAGAATGCATATACATACATACATACATACACACACACAAAATCCAAACCAAATGTGTGGCAAACTAAAAGCAAACTTTTAAAAGTAGTACCTTAGACCGCAAAATAACCATGGGAACACTACAACATAGGTGATTCTTTGAAAAAGAGAAGTAGATATAGGTTTCTATTGACTGTCACTTGATAAGGTAATAATAAGAAAACTTTTTTTTCCTCTGAGATGAAATATTGTGTATCAAATTCTTAGCTGTGAATGAATTCTTGGGTAATTATTTTGTGTGTGTGTGTGTTGTTGGAATCTAATTACGCGGTGAATAATGCTGTCATAGTGGAATTTATTTCTCTAAATCATGATTGTCCCCCAAGTCCATGTCAGTTTTTAGCTCTCCAATTGCTCAAGCTACTCTGAGGAAGTAGAATGCTACTTCCCTTCATTCAGAGGGCTATTGTGTTCAGACACTGGAATTGCGTCTGTGTTCTTCCTGTTCACTATTGTATCATGGGTTGCTAGGGGAACCAGCTATGGTAACTTAAGAAGAGAGATTTCACTCCTCCATGCAGCAAAGGGACTGATGCTGAAGGGCGCATAATGTCATCCTTCTGTTGCATTTAGCATGCTTGCCTTGTGTAGCGCCTGGAGGTACAACACACACTACGGACTCTCTATGAGGCCCCCCCAAAATCCTTTTGTACCGGCGCAACCCAGAGAGCTCTTGTTACTATGACGAGAATCCCAGCTTCGTTTGTTTTGTCTCTCAACTAAGTTCCTAGTTTTCAGTTTGGAGAGATGAATTTCGTTGCTGATGACTAAAGCTGACTTTGCATTGTGTTAAGAGTATGAGATAGAAGGCTGTGGCTGACGTCTTAGGTTTAATAATAATAATAATAATAATAATAATAATAATAATAA